GAGCGTTAAAATAACACTGAAGCAGTGCTAAAGTTAATGAGATAATTATGTGATTAATTAAGTGCTGATTGAGCAGCAGCAACTGAATGCTATCCCAGATAGTCACGCAGTGTGAAAACAACGGCGATCCGACGAGTTTGAAAATTGTGCAGTGTGAACGCGGCATTAGATGAAATCAACTGAAATAAAAGACATTAAATCTCTCAAGATTTCAGTAGATGAGCAGTGGTAATTTTTTTGTCATGTGTCTAAAAATTTCTTATTAAGAATTAACAGAGGTTTAAATGTTAATGTTTATTGAAAAGAATAAAATTTGAAGTCTGTGTTTATGTAACACATTTGTTATGGCAAGAAAAACCAAGAGAAAATGTGATCAGGTTATATTGGTCATTTTTTGATAATGATGTAGTTGTCATGTATAGCCTGATTCACTGACGTCATCAGTGGTGATGTGTAATTTATTTTGTTTTATTGATGACAACTGCATTTTAACCTGTTAACCTGCACCCCCCATTTTGGGACTCACAGCTGAAAATGATCTACCTAACTTAAAATTGTAACAGTTCCTGACAACAGTGTGCTACACACACAATTTTGGTGTCTTTGGTAAGAAGACCCTTGGGCTTTACTATCCATCATCCAGAGTTGATCATGCTCAAAAAGATAAAAAAAAAGTTATAGACACTGAAAGTGCCTTGAAAAAAATTGTACCACCCTGGATTTTTTCTTTTTTTTATTTCATATAAAAATACATGAAATCAGTCCTAACCCTAACCCTAACCCTATGGGTTGAAAGTCACATGTCTAATGAGTTTATATTTCAAATCTGAAGAAGATACCATGAAAAATTAGATTCCTGCAACCATTTTTCTGAGACTATGTCTAGTCCAACCCCCCACATCCCGTTTGAGGAAAAATATGTACATCGTATAAGTGATTCATTTGAGCACTAGAAACATACAATAAGAATATTTTTTTAATAATAAATAGAAATAAGAAAAAAAAAGAATACAGATGGTAATCATACAGATGGCTGGCCATATAGTCAATAATCATTCACACTGATAGCTGTCATACAGACAGTAATCATGGTGCGGTCATACAGATGGTAATCATGCAGATACAGCCACATTCCCCACAAAACACACACACATATATGAAAAAAAAAAAGAATTATTTGTGCAAAAAACTGATCGCTAAGTTACGCCCCCAACAGATGACAGGTGCGTCACGGCGTGCGTCATGAGCCATCACGAGAGAGTAAACAATATTCCGTCTATCTTTGACTTTTATTTTTAGTGGATGGTCTCATTCTGTTTGTGACACTGTATGCTACAAAACCATGTTGCTTTTTACTACCAAGATGCAGTTTTTTGAGCGTAAGTTATTCCATAACGAATACAAACAGTAAACAAATGTTTTCAGGCCAGGGGCCTCATGTATAAAACTTTCCATAGATTTCATCCTAAAAGTGTACATACACACAAAAGCTAGATTTGGCGTACGCACAAAAGTTTTCAGATTTATAAAACTACGCCAGAACCTGCGTAAAAATCCTTTTATAAATCCCTGTCAGCGGAAGATTGTGTGTACATGCATCTCCTCCCCAAAATCACCATATATGGCATTTACAGCGCCTAGTTTTACTATGCATAACCTCATCTGCATATCATTTCCATGCATATTCCCATCCACGTGACACCATGTTTAACACGTCAAAGGTACAAGACATTAGAAAAATATGACATTCGGACTAAAAATGCAATTTGTACGGTACATTACATTGCTAAAATATCATTCACTGTCCTTGTCTTGTTTTCGAATAAATATATCAAAATGGATGTAAAAACAAAATTGCATAAAATACTTCTCAGAGAATCTTTTTAGAATAGAGTGGATCTCGTTCTTTTCCACTGGCCAAAATCAGTATATAATTGTTTTAAACAAATAAAATATTTGAGGATATTTAAATAGGCTATAGTTGAATCAGAAATACGGTGTGTGTAAATAAGGGTACATAATTGTCTGATGCGGCGTCACTGACAAAAAAAGAAATGTGCAAATCTTATCGTTTGCTTCAGATTCTATCCTTCAATCACAATGCTATTTTCATAATGTTCTGAATGTTCGCGAAATAAACACATCCGTGCAGCCTTGGTTGTGCAGTAGGCTAATATACCCTGATATAAAAGAAATCTCTGTCGATTTGACACATCGTCATACCACCCAGTCATATAAAACAATCACTTATGCTTAATTCATTCCGTTCATGTCCAGCTTTCGTCCATCTCAGACATTGTTTAATACTTGCGTTTGATTCCACAGACAAGTCCATATGTCGCTGATGTTTGCTTCCGCTGAGATCGCAACAGTAGAATTTCTTTTGTCATCTGTTGTCATCCGTATTTTTTTTATAAGGATCACAAAACAATTTACCCCCACTCAGGTGTAATGCATTAGGAAATTGCTTTGCCGGTCTACGGCAGTTATGTGAGACTCCAGTGAGAAAGTTTCAATTTCGCTGTTTCACACACACCACTCACTGATATCACATGCATGTATCTGTATCTTAAAAGTAATGCATTACAACTTTATTAAAATTAGGAATAAATCAGTTAGTAATTATGATTGTTTTTTGTGAGACCTTAATTTTTGCAATTATTTTGTGGTGAAATGGCGAATTTTGCAGGATCGCAAAAAAAAATGTGTGTGTTTTTTTTTTTACATTTTGTGTTGGATTCAACGATCGTGGAATCGCGTAAAACTGTAGGGACTGGTTATGGAAAACATTCAGAAGGCGGGACCCGTTTCGAAACAGCAACATTAATTGGTTTAATTGCAGGTGAGTGACAATTCAACTATATCCAATTAACAATGAGGCTAGTATTTTGCTGCCTGTCTTGACTGGTGGATTAGTGTATAGGGGGTGTTATGGTTATGGAGGCCTCACCTCAAAGCCCGAGGCCCTAGGCAATTGCCTGCTCTGTCTATAGGTAGTGCCGTCCCTGCATTGTGGACCAGGACCAAGTCAAAGTCTAATCAAGTCCAACCATCATGTAATAAAACATTTATCAGTATTATTAACAGTACTTATTTATACTTTGTATCATATATGTTTATCATATGTCTTATAAATAATGGTTAAAAAAAAGTCTTCCCAATTTATTTCTATTTATTTTGCCTTTTGTTTATAATATTGTGAGATCAGTTTCATGTATCAAACTGAATCATTACACCCCTTTTAGACCCTTTTCTCTCCTTTTTCCTCTATTCTTAAGCACTTTTTTACTGTTTATTACTGTACTTCATCTAATGGCAATTAAATTCCATTTCCCCTTCTCCCTATTTACTGATGAACTACAGGCTTGCAGCACCATGCTAAATTAAGCTATAGATTTCCATTGCAGGCAGGAAACCAATTGATTTTGGAGCCCTTAATCAATTTATTTCATTACTTATACATTCAACCCTCTTCCTTTGTCCTACCCCCCCCCCCTTCTCTCTCTCTCATGTTTTTAAGGCATGTGTGAGGGAATGACCTATCTGAAAATGTGACATGAATAGTGAATAATTTGAATGATAACCTAATAGCCATAGCCTGCTTAAAGATCATATGTAAATCAAACGTTGAGGGCAGAAGGGAGTCTACATGACTGGAAGGGGATTGTGTGTCAGTGACTGTTAAAAAGGGATGCCTAGAAGGTCACTAAACAAATTAAATCAATGTTTTGCATTTGATGAGCCTTGTAATGTTGAGGGTTGTGTGGCATTCAGAACTTAATTAGGAATGCCTTTCAAATTTTAGTTCAGATCTTGAATTTGAACAAAATGAAAAATGAGGTAGCAACCAGGACACAGAATTGTAATTAGAATTTTTTTTTTTTTTCTCCAGTATTTCAACCAAACATTTAATAGACAACATTATAAAATGTAACACTTTTAGCATTGGCAACTAAAAGGGCAGGGGCTCTAAAGAAGCAGGTTTAGTCCCACCTGTAAGGCTGGTTAGTTATCATTTCCTGGTTAATAGAAAAACATTACATCAGTTTATTTTTTTCAATATTTAGTCTATTTATTTATTTATTTATTTATTTCTACAAATTACATGGATCACCTTTTTTATTTTTATTTTTTTTATTCATTTATTTTGGTGATGATACATGTTACATTTGATAATGTTAAATTTGTGTTATGGCCTTTGCTCTACCCACTTAATTGACAGAATCACATGTGTAGTCCATTCTATACAGACTGTGTCTGTTCCTGAATAGTGAGGTCAAATAATAAATTTACTACAGAATCTAGAAGAAATATTGATTGTGATTAAACCAGGAAAACACAAAATAAGTGAAATAAAAATTTTTTTTAAAACTTGGGTTCTTAAACATTAGATGGGAAGGAGGTGGGAACCGGGGAACATTTAAACACAATTTAATAACAAAATAAACACAAAAATGAAAATAGCACGACAGCCCCTCGCGGACGACTGCCACGCACAAACAGAACCAAAACAACAACATAAAATCCAGGCCTGGTCCTCTCTCGTCACTCCTCCTTTTATCCTTCCAGAGCTCCTCCGTGGGACTCGAGACGGTGTGTGGCGCAGCTCCAGGGGGGTGACTGACAGCGGTGGAACGGGTGGGAGAGGAGCCCAGGGGAGATGGAGAGGCACAGAGCCAGGGCAACTGGGAGGATCCGGAGGGCCAAGGTGGAGCAGATGGCTCAGGCGACCGAGGCGCAGGCAGGGATCTGGAAGGCCATGGTGGAGCCGGAGCAACAGAGGACCAAGGTGGAGCTGGAGGGAGGTAGGAGCCCAACTGAGCCAGAGGGACAAAGGGACAAGGCGTAGCCGGAAAAGTGTAGTCCCAAGGCAAGGGCAGGTCGACAACCGACAAAAAAAAAGGATAGAGAATGGCAACCTGACATCAAAAGTTCAATCAATCACACCCGAACCAGCTATTTAATCTCTCCAGGAGCACTTGATAATTACAGACAGCTGTGTTGGAGCAGGGCTGGAACTGAAGTCTGCAGGTAGGTAGATCTCCAGGAACAGGATTGGGCACCCCTGTTGTAATATATACTGCTAATAATAATAATAATAATAATAATAATATACTGTTTGCCTGTTTTTTGGCATAAATTGAATAAACATAAACTGCTTAATCATCTATTTTCAGTGAGGCAGAATCGTGAATGAGGCACAAACAACAACAAGTGCTTCAACTTCCCCGGAGGAGCTTTTATTGGTGCACAGTGAGAGAGAAACCTCCAAGGTGCAACAATGGTGAGTGAACAAAAGTCCCCTTCTTTGTGTTCTGTGTAGAAAGGTATTCTCAAGCCATGTATGATTGGGGTTGCCATAAACGGGGTATCTTGGTCTGTCAGGATTTCCTTTGGAATGCCAACTCTGCTCATAAGAAGGAACAGCTCCTTAGCAATGTTCTTTGATGTCACCCTTCTTAGGGGAATGGCCTCAGGATACCTTGTTGTGTTGTCGAGGATGATTAATATATATTCATGACCTCGGGCAGATCTAGGCAGCGGTTCTACCAGGTCCATGCCAATATGCTCAAAGGGCACCTCAATGATTGTGATCAGGTCGTTCCTCATTTACGGTTCCTCATTCTCCAGCCATGTATGATTGGGGTTGCCAGGGGCAACGCTGACACTGGCATGGACAAGATTTACGAAATATAAAGTTTTGTGTGCTTGCCATTTAACTTGAATCCCACCCAACAGATGTTTTTAAAGCAGCGGGTATGTACAATAATTCAATCCTTGATTTGCTTAGTAAAAGTCTACTTTTGGCATACTTTTGTTTTTTTTTTGTCCTGCAATAGTTGTTGATTATTTTGTGTGTTTAGTGGTACAGTGAACCATGTACCATTCATTCGTCATATTGAATGCTCTGCACACACTTGGTTATTGTGTGACAATTTAATGAAGGTGAATTGTTTGTGAAAAATGTCTTTTACAAAGGTTCTAAATACAGCAGAATCTTATGTATTTCTCCTACCATGTACTATATTTGTGACACATTTGTGTTTGGTTATCTTTCATTTATTTGAGTAATGAAAGACATTTGTAAAGTGAATTTTTATTTTGCTTTATTATTTTTTTATGAAATTTGGTTTAATATTCTGCTCTACATATAATATGTAACTCAAATATTTTTATGTGAAATAGGCTATGGTATATGGATGTATTAGTATTAGGGCTGCACGATAAATCGCATGCGATATTTAACGTGCATCTTGTCAGAAAGCCGGTTCTTTAATCAGCGGTAAATCTCCATCACCTGTGGGCTTTCACATTGAGCAGCATTAACTAAACAGAGCCGTTGTTCACTGATGAGCTGCGCAAAAAATCGCGCGAATATGAACGTGGTTTTGCGCAGCTCGTCAGTGAACAACGGTTCTGTGTAGTAAATGCTGCTCAATGTGAAAGCCCGCAGGTGATGGAGATTTACCGCTGATTACAGAACCGGCTTTACTGATAAGATGCGCGTTAAATATCGCATGCGATTTATCGTGCAGCCCTAATTAGTATTCATATATAATGTACATATTCATCCCACACATTATTAAATGTGACCCTGGACCACAAAACCAGTCATAAGGGTCAATTTTTTTTAGGCAGAACAGGCCTCTGGTTCCATGGCAACCAAAGACAAACCATCTGATAACACTAGTTTTATTGTTCAAAGGAATGCGGGCAGAGCAACTCTTACTCAAGTCGCTCTAAAACAGACACATAATGCCCATAAAAATTGACTCCTCTCTAATTAATTCACAGGAAAAACTTTCTGTGAATGAACACACATCTCCTCAGGACATTGTGCATACCATTACTGTTCTTGTACTTAGCTCTTCATCATCTTCATCTGGGAGAAAACTCTCCTGACCACCACAGAGTCAGAATAACATCTTTGGAGTTCATCACTCTTCAAACCCCGGAAAAAGGTGATCACGACTCCTACACCACCGAACATCCAAACCATCAAGACTTTCATCCGAGACTGCATCCGGATGCTCGTTCCATCAATGCATATTACTACTTAAAATTTAAGTTTTGATATATTTACGGTAGGAAATTTACAAAATATCTTCATGGAACATGATCTTTACTTAATATCCTAATGATTTTTGGCATAAAAGAAAAATCGATAATTTTGACCCATACAATGTTTTTTTGGCTATTGATAAAAATATACCCAAGCGACTTAAGACTGGTTTTGTGCTCCAGGGTCACAAATGTGCAGATGTGTAAAGTCTATTTTTATTAGCCATGTAACATGACAAATGCTTAGTTACTCAAAGGTTGCAATCTCAGAAGTAAACTTGTTTAGCATGGGGACCAACACTTATTTTGCCTGTCTCTTTAATAGGTTGTTTGCACATGACGTCATTGCTATGGCGCAAAATGCAGCTGGAGGGCAGGAAGTGATTTTTCTATATAGGAATTGCTAGCAGAAACTCAAAATGCCTATGTTTTGTGTGGTTCATGGATGCTCAAATCAGACAAACAGAGAAACCACAAGGAGCTTTTATCGTGTACGAAAATTAGTTGTTCATAAGGGTGGGAAAGGCAAGAAATTGACTGAAAAATGCAGTAAAAAGTGGCTTGTAAACCTGCGTCTGCGGTTGGGAGGAGTCAGATAATGCTTGTGTGTGCAAATGGTTAATATAAGATATAATAATATATTGTGATATTAATAAAAAAATATATAAATAGATGCAGGCAGGGCCAGAGTGGGACTCATTTTCAGCCCTGGAGTTTCATGCCTTAGACCGGCCCACTTTGTTTTTGGTTTTTTTAAAGTTTTTTTTTACTGGCCTTTTCAGTGCCGCCTTTGCGCTTTCTATTATGCATTTTACGCATATGCATATGCACTTATCTATTATTTTTTGCTCTCATATGTCCAACAATTACTTTTTTTTTTTTTTTGAGTAAGGTTCCGCTGTCAGGGGAGTCAAAAGATAATTATGTCATCGTTGCCAATTAACATAAGAAATGGAAAATAAGGGACAATTGTGATTCTTTAACTTATTCTTTAAGAAAATAGGTTAGGTTATTTAAAAATGAGTTTTGGGTCAAAATGACCCGAGGGACGGATGAGGGTTAACAGCATTAACTTACAATGAAAGACGTCTTCCCTTAGGGAATCCTCCCGGTGCTCCCGATTAGCCAATCCGGGCCTGGATGCAGGGTTGCCAACTCTCACGCATTCAGCATGAGACAGTCAGAATTCAATCAATGCCACACGTAGACATGATTGATATAAGATATTATATGTGCAGTTTAGAGAGCTTCATTGATTATAACGGAACATTGTGAGA